ATATATATATATATGAACTCACTGAATGTAAGACATTTTTGTCAATGGTATATAAAAATACAAAGTTTTCCCAGGTACCTCCAGCATGCTTTGTACCATTTCATAAATGCTTTGCTCAAAGGAAATGTAGATATTGGGCAGAGGGCCTGGCCCAGTTTAGTAAACCAAGAGGAAAATAATTAAAAAGCTCTGGCCAGCTACCTTGTCTGCATAAGGCTGCAGGAGTATGTGGGATTCATAAATAAATATCAGAACCATATGTGGCAAGTGGGTAGATTGATGTAAACATGCATTGTTTTAAAAAATGAAACAGGGCAAGAAAACAAATGTATTTTCCTTCCAAATTGGAATTAGTAAAAGTTTTTTATGGAAAAGAATAAATCAAGTCCTTTTGGATTGAACCGATTCCACTGACAACACACACAGTTTTGTTGGGCTCCTTACATGTCAACACAGTGACAGCACTAAGGTTGTAAGAGCTCCCCTGGGAGAAATTCAACATCTGCACCTTCTGGTAACCATCTCTCCTTTGCTGCCCTCAACCACCTCATAAAGGGTGAGCTCCAAACAAAGTGTTTGTTGATACCCAAAATGACAAATTAGGGGGAGAGATGCATTTAAAAGTGCCCAAGAGTTTTGTTTCTCAGGTGTGAATTCTGCAAGCCAGGGGCCTTACCGCATTCACATTCCACCCGCCTGAACGCATTCGGCTTTCACTGCAGCCTTTCTGTGCCTGAGACAGAACAACCAGACCCTGCTTGGGTCACAGTGTATGTCACCCCAGCCACCATTTAGCTGGAGCTGACCTATTTACACTGCAAACCAACAACCCAGCAGGGATTCCTGCAATAGACACTTGGCTCTTACTATTTTGCTCTTCTTTCTCAATGTATTTTGTTTTTACTGATATGCTAGGGCTTCGGGGTTGAAATAAATCTGAGAAATCTGTTGATGTTTATTATTTTATGATGCTACTTAATTAATTCATAGTGCTGTGTAACATCAGAGAAACATGGCTGATCCCTTCTGGCTTTTAGTTTCTTCTTTCATTTTGTTAGAAACCAAGGAGAAATATCTGGACAAATATGAATGGAAGGAAAACGGAAAATGTTACTAGTAGTTTGTACTGACACTGTGCCCATTTGTAAGAAAAAAAAATTTACTAATTCCATTAGTCAATTTTAAAATGCCCTATTCATTTTAAAATGAAACAAAATATAGTAAGTCAAATAATTATAGAACTGTTGGCTGACCTTTCACAGGAAGTACTCAAAGAAGGATTTTTCAAATATTGTTTAAACCGGAGCTCAAAAGCCTGCCCTATGGTAGTTATGACATCTTGGGCCATTCCGTTACGGCATTCCAATATGTGGCAGGCTGCAAAAGGATATACAAAAAATTGTAACAAATTTTCAGTAAGAGAAGATTATATAAAGTCAAAATATTTCCAGAATATGGCCTGGTAATTGAATAAACAGGAGGAGGTACAAGCTCTCTTCAGCTCTGAAGTGGTATAACAAGACCTCATATTTCATACGCATCCGAGAGCAGAAACATGAGGCTTGGAATTGGAGTAAATTTCAATTCCCAACCTAGCCTCTCCTAATGAGATAGTCATGAACAAAAGGCCGACACTGCATAATCTATATCTATATATCTCAAAACATAAATTTCGGTCTCAAGGCAGGTATTTTGGGCTCACATTTTCACAACAGTAGGACGATTTTGACGAATACTCAAGGTCAGTGTTAGCTCTGGAATTCAATACAGGAAAGGCGTAGGATAGCAACCCGCAGGGAAGATGGGGTTTTCAGCCTTGTCCTGGCATGGGATGCCACAGAAGATTGACCAAAGGTAACTTTCCAAACCTCCCCACCCGTCTTCCCCAAAAGAGATATGAACAACTAGTGAAGACAGAGGCTTTAGAATACCCCCTCCTCTAGCCACCCCTTTGCCCTGCTGCTGCCAGTGATGGTCCGGAATCCCCATCACTGAACCCTACGGAAAAACTTCCTCCAATAAGCATCAGAATGAAGATTTTGTGAAGATGGCATTATTAGAATATATTACAAGTTTTAGTAGACACCTTCCCTGAGAAGCAGTTCCTGGGAAAGGCTAGTTTTCACAAGCAAATTGGAGAAGTCAGTCATGAAGGGGGCCGCTGCCGGAATGCCACCAACAAAGGAGCCCATGTTCAGGAGCTGGGAATCACTCTCCCCTCCATCAGGAATACCATCCCAGCCTCGGCGAGAGGTCGGTGTCATGCTTAAGGCCTGGCAATATGAAGGTTTCACTGAACTTGAGGTTTCATAAGAATGGCTTATGAAACCTAAGGATGACTTCAAGATGAGGCAATGTCTTGTGAGAAATTTTTTAAGATATATATTGGTTAGTATAGCCGGAACAATTGAGGAAAAGCTTGATAATGGTTAAAGGGTACAAGAATGTTGTAAAAACTGTCAGCTGTTCTCTGAGAATAGGAAAGGATTGAGTGCACCAGGAATCGGGTTAGATACTGGGGAAGCATCGTAGGTCCTGGGAACCCTAAAACCAACCCTGGGAGAATGACTAAAGGGGACACGGGAGGAGAGGGGAGATGCCTGACTTTATGGAAGGGCTTAACTGTGTTGACGTGGAAGCTGGATTTTATGCTTTGCAATGTCTTGGAAAGAATGTTGAATTCACTTAAAGTAAGAGGCAACTCATTCACCTGTTTTTGAACTTGCAGAGTCTATAATAGCAGGTTATGGTAGAACCTACACTGGTGTTTCTTAGCAAAGCATTGATAATCATGTCAAGAATGTCAGATGTTGCCCTAGCCATGAAAGCTCAGTAGATAGAGCAGTGATGGCGAACCTATGACACGTGTGTCAGAAGTGACACATGAACTCATTTTTTTGGTTTTTTCTTTGTTAAATGGCATTTAAATATATAAAATAAATATCAAAAATATAAGTCTGTTTTACTATGGTTGCAAATATCAAAAAATTTCTATATGTGACACGACACCAGAGTTAAGTTAGGGTTTTTCAAAATGCTGACACATCGAGCTCAAAAGGTTCACCATCACTGAAATAGAGCATCGGCTTGCGGACTAAAGGGTCCCGGGTTTGATTCTGGTCATTAGCACATGCCCAGGTTGCGGGCTTTATCCCCAGTGGGGGGCATGCAGGAGGCAGTCGATGAATGATTCTCATCATTGATGTTTCTATCTCTCTCTCCCTTAAATCAATAAAAATATATTTTTTAAAAAGAGAAATGTCAGATAATTGTCATTTTAGATTAGTTTGACATTTATTTAAAGGATTTATGTCTTTGAATACTTTTGGAAGGGATGGGGGGGCAGGGTGCTATTACAAAATCAAACAACGCTCAGGTGTCAAATCCCCAAGAGTTATTCATCATTTCTTATAAAGTTGTCCCTTTAAAGAGCAACCTGGATCCTGAAGTAGACTAGGAGCTATTTACAATTTTGAAAACACAATTGAGAATATCTATAAATTTATATCCTTTCTACCAAAGGAAAACATTTGATCTATCTTTAGACTGACATTTTATGGCCCCTTCTTTTTCTCTACAGTAGCTTCACATAGCGACCAATGCGTGTTTCAAAAATATGTTTTGATGGAATAAATTCTGATGTTCCTGAATCACATAAATAATTCTACTGTGAGAAATTGTCTCCACTTTTATTAAAATAAGACCTACAATGAGCCCCAATAGTGGGGCATGTCCTTCCAGCATTGAGTGGTGCAAGTGACTGCATGATCTTTGGGGACTGCTCTCCTCCTTCCTGGTCAGGCCTCACAGCCTCAAACCTACAAAGTGCCCTTGAAGATGTAGCCTCTAGCTGAGCCAAAAAAAAAATGTGTGTTACATTGTGATTTAAAAAAAAAAGTAATTCATTTGATTTTTTTTTTGTTTTTCACCTCATAAATTCTTTGTCCAATTAAACATGAAGATCAGAAATTATATGGAAATGGAGACAAAAATTTTTGTAATTTTATTATTTCTTAGAATCAAGCAGATATCTAGAGATAAACATGGGGAAGATGAGAGAGGCAGAAAATTCAAACATAAATGAACGAATTAATGCTGCAGCGGAGGTGGAAAAATACAACAGGAAAATTAATCGTGTCATTCATAACAGCAACCTAAGTTCTAATGCTGAGGCTCCCGGGACACCTGAGCCGGCTCACAAACACCCAGGCTCTCCATCCTCCTAGGGAGGGAGGGAGGGAGGGAGGAAGGGAGGAGAGGGGGAACAATGTAGGGAGGGAGGGAGGAAGAAATGGAGGGTGACTAAAGCGTGCCTCCCATGAGAGGATGAGAGAACAAGGATGGTTAAAAGAACTCTACGAAAAGATTCAGATCCAAGTTCAGGTTCCGATTACACTACAATCTGTGTGACCCCAAATAAGCTGCTCTACAGCAAGGCCCTCACCTGCGCAGCAGGGCGCTGGGGGATCTCTGAAGTCCCTGCTGCTTTATAGGAATCGCACCCTTCCTGGGTCGCAGTCCCTTACACCCTCTGCGGACGGAGCAGGGCGAGGCACGTGGGGCACTCAGGAATGAATGCATCAACCAACACCACCGCGTCCTCCACCACTTCTCTTATACCGCTAATGTTTCATGTCTCAACTTTTCTCGTTCTGATACGTTGAGGGTTTGGTCCTGTTCCCAGGCTGAGGCTACCAGCCTAAGAGTCTGCACTTTGGATAACCTTGCTGCGGCCATATTACTTTTTTGAGAAGATTAAACAGAAAGAAAGAAAACCAGTGGTGCCTGTCACCATGAGAGAAACAGCACTGGACCAAAAGGCTGGCCTGTGCAGAAGTCCGGTGCCGCCTCAGCGCTTCAGGGCACACACACGTCTTGGTGGCGCTCCTGCTGACAGGACATGCTGCTCTGTGGATATGGTCTTGGCTCTTTTTTAAGCTGGTCATGGGCCAGAATAGGGATGGGCTTTAAATCACGTACAAATATGCCCGCTTGCCCTAACCGGTTTGGTTCAGTGGATACAGCATCGGTCTGCGGACTGAAAGGTCCCAGGTTCGATTCCGGTCAAGGGCATGTACCTTGGTTGCGGGCACATCCCCAGTAGGGGGTGTGCAGGAGGCAGCTGGTCGATGTTTCTCTCTCATCGATGTTCCTAACTCTATCCGTTTCCCTTCCTCTCTGTAAAAAATCAATAAAATATATTTTTGAAAAAATATTTTAAAAAAACACACAAAAAAACAAATATGCCCACTTTCCAGGGTGAGACAGGCCTCCAAAAGCTCAGATAAGCGGCCAGTTTGGCCAAGAATTGCCCAGTCTTTAGCTAATGGAAGGAAGAAAGACAAGCCTATAAAAAGTCCCAATTCCCAGAAAAGAATTTTCCAGCGATCTGATAACTTTGCTTGGAGGCCTGAGCTTTGATCTCCTTGACCAGAATCATATGCAAACCTAGGTTCTTTTCACTCCACTGGCAGCCAGCTAGACGCTGGGGTGTCAGGTATAATATTAAGTAAAATTTAAAAGAATCTTAGGTTCATTTTCTTTTGTCTTTTACTTTGGGTTTCCTAATGAGATAGTCATGAACAAAAGGCTGATGCTATTCTTCGAGGATGGCAGGTTATTCTTTCCTGATTTATATTTGTTTTTAATACACAAGGTTTCTGGGGTTGTTTCTGGGGTTTTTTGTTGTTACTAGAAAACAAGAAATTGAAAAGTGCAGCTTCTCAGATTAACCACCAGATGGTGCTGTGGGGTCGAAGCATGGGGTCCACCATCTCTACGGAAGAAACCAGCCTGCAGAAGCAAGCCAGTCAGTCCGAACTCAACTAATGTGAGCAGGGCAGTAGTGCATGTATTTTTGTAACTATAAACATAAACCTAAATAAATGGGTTAAGTTAATTTGGTCTTACTATCATTCTTTCTTTCTTTCTTTCTTTCTTCCTTCCTTCCTTCCTTCCTTCCTACCTTCCTTCCTTCCTTCCTTCCTTCCTTCCTTTCTG